GGAATGCTAACCACTACACTGTGAAGTAAAATAATGATAATATGAAAGCAAGACTGACAGACTTACCGCAAAAGACGTGTGATGTAGTCAGGCCAGTTGTCTGGAAACATAACCAAGAAGAAGCCTACAGCTATGAGAATCATCCCGGCCAGTTTCATGCCCACAAAATGGGCACCATACAGTACCACATCTAAAGCTGTGGATAAACACAACACACACAGGTCATCATCAAACTTGATTATTATAAATCAGGTCTTTCTAAGCAGCCTCTCCCACTGGGTTGGTAGTTCATAATTCTCTAAGTAACTAACTTTACCATCTCTTGTTTAACATGTTCTTTGATAGCTATAAAGATCATTCCTCAGAGAATTTTTAATTGTCGTAATTTCTTCTTTTCTTTCTGTTTCAGAATCGTGTAATTTATTATGGTCTTATGAAATTCATTTCACTTGATGCTGCGTTGGGTTTGTGAATTTATATGATGTGATTTATCATTAATTTTTCTCTTCTGTTTTACTGAGCCAGCTAAGTACTCGCATGAATTTCTTTCTTTTTCCTTACTCTTCTTTTTTTCTTTATATCTTCTTTCTTAATAATATAGAAATTCATGTTTTATTTAAAGTTTTATACTTGGAGTAGTACTTGTAGAGGATATAAGACCATCAGTATTGTTAAATTTATACAATTACTGTTTAATCACTTCGTTGTAAAGGTGTAGACATCCAGGTTTTCTAAAATATCAGCAAACTGGCCTGTCACAACTTGCTTTCATCACCGAAAAATGGAAAGCTAAGTCTGTGAGCTTTTAAGTATTCATGATCTTGAGATACTGTGCATCATGCCAGTCATCCATCCAAGATTTCAGGTTCTCATGGTGAAAAGTATGAAGATGGATATCTTCTGGGTTGTTGCACTGTGTAATTTGTTAGAAGTTCACCAATGATGCAGAGGTGCTTGTTGCCGTAATCATGAGGTACTCATTGCCATTTTGATTGAGGCAGCAGGCACCTCTGATACATCAGTGAACTACCAGAGAACATGGCGCAAGAACCTAGAACCATATTCAGAGTAAGTGGAATATAGATTCTGTACCATTAACTAGAATGATAGAAGATGGCTGGCTAAGAAATAAACTAATTCCACAGAGCAGAGTTATTCTTAAGAAGTTAATAATCATTTAGCTAATCAAGAAATTTGCTAAGAAAGAAAACTCACAAATAGGTTTACAGGCCTACCTGACCATTTCTTGATTATAATCAAGAAATGGTCAGATGAGTGATCATTCTTTTATTGTAAATAAGAAATTTTGCAAGGACTGTCATTCCTTAACCCAAAAAGAGACTGTCAGTGAGTAGTAATGCTCTTTCCTGCACAGTAGATATAATGGTTATACTGCCATGACTTGGTATTCTGGAATTAGGTAGTGTATCCTCCATATCACATGTACTGTTATACACCTGTGACAGTACAGGAGATGTTGGCACTGAAGTAGGAGAAACTTTATATTTTACCTCCTATCCACGATGCTCAAGACTTCGTGTGTTACAAAGTAGAGAACGTGCTTTACCTGCAGAAACTGGAACAGCTGTGATGAGGCCAAGGGTGATAAACAAATCATAGGTCACTGCCACACTGAAGTTCCCCAGGAGGTTAGCAGCTGCAGAAAGAACAAATGGGATTCTGTTACATGAAACATTCTACCAATTTGCAGTGTTGGGCGGTGGGAAGCTGAATAATGACTTGGCAGGAAAGGAAGGACTAAATTATTCTGTTACTTTGTTTGTTTAATTAATCTTTCTCTGGTGCAAGAGTTCTGTAGCAGACAATGGGTGGGGCGATCATGAAGTGCTAATTGTAATGGATATGAAAGAAAGTGGCAGTGATGTTATTCTGAGACCAAAGAAAATCGTGAAAAATTTGATCAGGCTGGCTGCCTTCAGGAAGAGATTCAAAGTTCGTACCTCCCGAATACAAAGGTGAAATGCTAACAATTCAACTGCTTGTGTTCAGTACTAAACTGTTTAAAAAAACAGAGATCGTTTAGTGCTGCATAAAATATCAAATTATCATGATTGGTAAATAAAAATTTGAATTGGACTGTAAGGATATAAAGGTAGTATACTGACACATGCTTGGTTAGACAGAAAAACCATGAAAAGTCCTTGTTAGAATAGCGAGTAACCTGCATAAAATTCCTCCTTATCTGTAATGTTACTGTTGCAGCAATGTGCTCACTGAACACTTACTAGGATGCATAATACAGAGCCTTGTAACATTTGTCATTTATTAAATAGTAATACAAATAATAGGTACCTTACACTATGACCAGCCAAGTGCTGGATCATAGATGAAGCCATTGACTGAGGTCTGAGGATATTATGATTATGTTCTGTTTGGTCAGAGATATCACACATCTTGTGGGGCAGCGACAGAAGAGTACGGAGCAGTGGTTGAATGATGATTAACAGGAAAAACGAATTCAGAGATAAACCTGCCTCACTGCCACTTCATCCACCACATACCTCACTTGAAGTTACCCATATTTGAACCTGTCTCTCTGCAGTGAGAAGCCAGTGTCTGGCCATGGTCATTAAGCCTGATAACTGAATATGTGTAAGGAAACCAAAACAAAGGAATGTGTTTGGTGTTGAGAAGTTAATAAAAAAGTCATATTATCTGGAAGTAGAAGACATTTGAGTGGAATGTGATGGAAAGCTGTAGTTGTCGAGGCTACAGCTCGTACAAAGGCAATGAAGAAAAAAGGAGGTGAAGAAGAAGAATGAGGAGAATACAAAGTAGTAAAAGTATGGATGATGAGATGGTGTAGTAGATTTGTAATACCTAGTGAAAGTCCACTAGCTGCAAGCAGCACTGGCCATGGCAGCTGCTCCCAGTGCAGGGTCTCCACTCTCGTGAAGTAAAGCACCAGGCAGACAGGCCACAGAAGTGCAGCATTAAAGAGGCCAATTAGTGAGAAAAATAGAGATACTTGGCCATAACTGGCTTCTCCAATTACCTTCTTGAATAAAACCTGCAATGAGACATTTCTGGAATCAGTTTTTCTAGTTTGCAGTTTATTTACTCAGCCAAGACATCTGTCCAGTGCAGTTTACACCTTTAAACCTACTTCTCTAAAAAAAAACTATTTTAATATTATTTTCTAATTTCACAATATTCTTCCAAGTGGTGTCTTCCTTTGATGTTTTCCAGTAGGAAATTATTGTACTTTATCAATCATCCCATGTACACTACATGCCCCACTTTTTCAGTCCTTTAACAGTTAACCAGCCCAACAATCTTTTGAGAATATGCATGACTAGTTAAGTTAGATGTGCACCTCAGACAATGGAAACAAGATATACACACACAATTATGGTGAGGGTCATATCTTTGAGAACAACTGTAATGAGATAGAATCATAGTATTCATTTTCATATTTATGAAATTGGTTAGACGATGTGAAATGGACTGTTCAAAGGCAAACTCTAGCATCAGCTCGTTGAACCTTCAGATTACTAGTATATTATGAGTGAACTTCATGAAGTCATAGCTAGTCATGTATGAAATTGGATAACTTGGTCAGCAAAAGAATTTTATGCATTTTGGATGGTTGGGGTTCAATTATCAAAACACAAAAGGATTTTTCTCTTCATCACTATGTCTTGGCCAGCCACCATTCCAATGGTTACTGGGAACTCTGGCACAAATAAAGTATGCAGAGCATGAAGCTGCCACTGTTAACAGTCTAATCGGAAGGTCTATAATACCTTGAGATTTACATCTGCATATCATTATTTTCAGACACAGGGGTTACTACTTCTTTATCTTCCTATGACAATTGCCATAATGAATCTACAATGTGTGTGATTTAGCCGTTACCCACAGTCTGACTTAACAGTGACTATTGCAATATAGTTTTTAAAAGAAATGCAAAATTAGTGTGACCTTATATACAGCAGAACCCGCAGCTGCACCAGCAGCCAATACCACTCCTCCCAGTGTTGGACTGCCAGTGATGCCATCCATGTAGGCAAACAGTGCTATACCCGTGTCACACAGGATCACAGCCACGATCTGGGGATGGAATCAGCTACTGAAAATGGTGACAACTCAAGCCAGTTTTGATTCAGTTTCCACAGTGCACTGATATTGTCCAAATTAAAGTGTTTTTGCATGGGAAACCAAATTCTGGTATGGAATCAGTTATAGAAGTAGATCAATAGATCAGATTAAAAGTTTTATGGATGCTTGTCTTACTCAAAGTCCTTATTACCTTGGTGTGAGATAAAAGGTAAAATATTCAGTGCTCTCTCCCATGGTGTGAGAGATAAACCAACAAAAAGGGTGGTCATTATTCAAATGCTTTAGTGCTGTAGAACTATTTGAGTACATATCATAATGATGCCACCATCATTAAAATTGAATGTTTTGTGCTCATGAATACCAACACACCCTCTTTTGACCATGTTTACAAACATTTTGTGTGGCATTTCAGCTTCAGTATTGGTTTCAAGATCCTCCATTGTGTGCGTGGGTTAGTCCTATAGACCACTGAGCCACAGAGAAATAAATTAGGTGGAGAGAAATTCAGAGATCTTGGAGTCCGTAAGTCTTTGCAGATTGAACAATAGTTGAAGAACTCCCAGAATAAGGAATTTTTTTTTGTATTTGTGGTGCAATCTTTGCTGAAACCAGTTATGTTCATCCACTTGAAGGTGTGATATGAACTGGGTGGTGATATCAGCAACTGTCTCCTCAAAGAAAATGGTGCCCTTCACACACTTATGAAATAAAGCACACTTTCCTCCAAGGATGTCACATCTGAATTGTTTCTTGCACCTCTACAAATGACTGAGTTGTGAAATAATGTTCAGTTATGAAGGTTTGGCATGAAAAATTATGTGTTGTTCCCACTATAGAGATAGTGCTACTAGGAGTAGATGGGGTATATGACACTTGCATTTGCAGGTGTCAGAAGTAAGAAACTTCCAACATGTCATGGATTACCACACACTTTCATGCAGAGTTGAGCAACTTTTCAGTCACTATATATACTGCACATAAAGTTATAGCGTCTACTTACCCTGACACCAACAAATTGTTCATGAAGGATCACCCATGACAGCAAATACACAGAGGACACATTTGTGGCAAACAAAGCCATTACATCAGTGGCTAAAAGTATCCGCAGTGAGTGGATGTACATGTAGTTTGTTGCAACCCATAGGAGACAGAAGAGACTGCAGCGAGTCAGAAATCGAGCTGCAAGGCAAAAGGGAGCACTTAAATATAAAAAGTTTAAATTTCAACATGCATATATTGAAAGAAATTGTGAATGTCATGTAAAAGCAGATTTAGTTAATTATTCAGTGTTATGGCCTACTTCAGGTACTATAACTGTTTATAAATGGCAATATTTGTTTTTCAAAATAGAGCACAGAAATATGAGAATGTTTCCCAAATGTGTCCTTACTGTTTATTCGATTATTTAAAATTTAAGTCTATTTCTTCAAATGGAAATATTCTTTTATAAAGCTGATGACACTGTTTAAGGCACACTATGCATGCATACATAATTTTTGTTTGTATTTCATCGAGTATACAACTACCAAAACATGTTATAAATAAAGTTGTATGGTTCAGTTATATCTGTATTTTCAGTGATATACAAATCATTTGTATAATGTTTCAATTTTAAGGAAACTTAAGAAGATAGGTTTGAGTTTCACATAACATTAAGGTTATACTGCACTGGTACAGAACTCACTGATTTGAGATCTGCATGAGCATGGCCTCTCCTCAGTTCACCTGTTCCTTTTCATCTGTTCCATCCAAATTTAAATTAAATTTTACACAATTTATATGAAAAAATAAATAAATAGTGAATATTCTTTTCAGATCTGTTGTGTTAATCTCTTTCTAATATTTCTAGTCATTTGCAGAATCTGAAGTAGTATGAAACAATATTTTCACATGAACTTTATAACTTGTTCCTATGGTATGCATGTCCCAGTTATTAGACACTAAAGTTGCTTTATAATTGTCATATAAAGACCACTTATAATACTAAGTACTACAGAAGAATGCAATTTTCAGTAAACACTGTAAGTATTTTGTGTTTTCTTATTTACCTGCAGTAAAGCCCTTGTCTCTGAAATTCCTCACACTTTCCCGCAGGATGTTTCCAGGTGACTCACACTTGGTTGATATCAGGCAACAGATGAAATAAAGTGGAAAGAAGAGGACTGTCCAGTTTGTACAGAACCACGTGGTAAAGAATGGAGCATTGTAGGACACAGCCTGTATAATCAGCAAGTATTTGTATTCATTGGCCTTGATTTATTGCAATTGGAGATTCACTGCTGGAAAGCTAATATAACTACAGGTATCACACTGCACAGAGTAAAAAATTATTCTTTGTATTTCGTTAAATATTTGTCATTATGAAAAGTGTTTGAAGTGAAACTTTTTTCATAATGAAATCTATATTTCATATGGCATATGAATGCTTTTAAGGTGGGAATTTTCATGAAATCCATTATGTTTGATTTCAGTTTTGTATATAATAGAGGTTATAATTAACTGATAAGAATTAATGTAATATGTTTGAGAAATTCAACTGTAGATCTCCAGAATCAAAGTGGGATTAAGACTGTTGCACCAATATTTTACTTCGATTTTAACTGCTGAACTTTGTCTTTCATGTCTAGTTTTATATCTCCTAGACCACAAAGCTCTTATACTAATAATGAAATCAGTTCAGTATCTGAACCACTCGGTTAAGATTTTTATTGTGATCTTTTTGGTTGTGATTCTGTGTGCTCTTGTTGAACATTTTGGAGGAATGGATCACCTCTGTATTCTGAAGATAATGTGCTGCCAAAATGTTGTTAACCACCTGCAGAACAACATGGCAGCAAAACTCGAAAGACTACAACTGACATTAATTCAGTAGCAGATATATGTGGATGGACATAATAGAACTTCTTCTGTTTGCATGAACTTTGTGCAAAAAACACAGTCAAGTTATCATTTTACAAAAGGAGCTGGATGCATCTCTTAAAGTCTTCTACTTGTACCAACTTCATCTTAATGTGGTACACAACAAATGAGGGTGGGAAAACTTGGGTCATGTTAGTATAAATCTATTTTGTATGTCGTGGAGGATGTGTTAAAATACAGATAAAGTTGCTTTTGTATAGATGTGTTTAATTCTGTTGTTCTGATATCTGACTGAGGTTGAACAAGCATCCATTACCATATAATGCGACATTTGTCTTAGTCCAAATGCTGTGACATTGATTTCACTCACTGAGCTATGAAAATCCCTTTTTGATGATCTGCATGGTTCTGCTACCTAGCCTGAAGCATTTGAAGTACGGAAATATTACGTTGAATTTGAAAATAATAATGAACATTTTTTTCATATTTTTACCTTAAAATTACATTAGTTCAGGAAAATTGTGAGAAATTAATGCACAGCAAAATGTTTAAGTAAGAGAATGCAACTCACAATGTGGTGGTGCAGTGTGTTGCTGTTATTTGAATAGCCCGTGTTAGGAACAGATCGATGGAGGTAGAGGTACTTGATGCAGTGGGTAGCACCAACCCAGGAAGCAGTCACACAAATGGTTACACACACTCCAAAGTAAATCTGTTAACAGAAGAAGTGACTGTTAAAACTGACTCCATGGAGTGGAGTCCTTTCGGAGTCTCTCATCTAGTCGATAAATTCCACATTTTAGAAAACCCAAAGTTTCTGAAAGTAGACTCCATTCCACACCATCACACCCAGATTTTTTAAGATCCATTTTGTATTGTCCTTCCATTTACTCTTATGACTTACATGTGATCTCATTTCTTCATGTTTACTAACTAAAACATTGTATGCATTTCTCCCATCCAGATGTGTGCTACATGTCCGTTTGCCCCCCTTGAATTCAGCACGTGAATACTATTTGGCAACGACTACAAGTTTCTCAATTTTAGGTCTAAATATTTTCATAATTTTTTTTAAACATCCTCTTTCTCCTGTTAGGATGTGATACCAAGTTTTATATAAACGTATAAGAAAACCAAAAACCTAGTTCTTAATTTAACTTTTATTGTTTAGACATAATTTCATTTTAACGACTGATTAATATTTATGTGTGGCCACTGGTTAAATATCCATACATAATTTAGTGTGTGCTTAATATATTTATGCTCTTGCCCACTGAATACATTGTTCAAGAACCTACAGTGAAGCCAAAAGCAGAGTAATCCATGTATAAGCCATTTAACAGCACTGAATTTGGGGGCAAGATGAAATGTTTATGTTTTATTGATCTGTTTTGACTGACTTAACTCACCTTCCGCAGTGATTCAGAGCAGCATGAATTCCTACAACTCTTCAGCTTGTGCAGGGCACCACTGCTAGAAGACAGCTCAGCCTCCTGTTGACTGTCGGTAACTATAATGAAAGATGAACATCCTTTATTGGTGAAAGTTTAGAGATTCTTTCTGTTTCAAAAGCACTCCATTTCTTTTATTATAAACACAAATCTGTTTTAAAGGTGCGTATAAACAGTACAGATAGAATATCTTACAGAGTTTAAACTGCCCACTTAAACATTTGGCTGCCGATTGCCCTTGTATGTATGATCTGAAGCTTTCACAGTGACTAAGTATAATAAACTCTTAGGCTACCAGCTATATCAGATATATTGAAGTACCCTGAGGATGAAGATTGTTCTTGAAACATCTGCGTTTTCTCCATTCAGCCATCCGACATGGCTGATAGCCCAACAAGAAGTTACGCTCTTGTATGGCATCCACAAATTTTACTTGCTACATTTTCTAAACTATCTTCAAATCTGTAACTCTATACGATACCCATACTTCAGACAGTAGAGTAGGACCAATTGCAAAATCATGGATTTCTTTGCAAGTTTTGCCCAGTTTGTGTTTGGCTGTCTCTGCATTGGTAGTGTTTTCTTTCACGTTTTCCCACGTCTACTCTTATGACTTACATGTGATCTCATTTCTTCATGTTTACTAACTAAAACATTGTATGCATTTCTCCCATCCAGATGTGTGCTACATGTCCGTTTGCCCCCCTTGAATTCAGCACGTGAATACTATTTGGCAACGACTACAAGTTTCTCAATTTTAGGTCTAAATATTTTCATAATTTTTTTTAAACATCCTCTTTCTCCTGTTAGGATGTGATACCAAGTTTTATATAAACGTATAAGAAAACCAAAAACCTAGTTCTTAATTTAACTTTTATTGTTTAGACATAATTTCATTTTAACGACTGATTAATATTTATGTGTGGCCACTGGTTAAATATCCATACATAATTTAGTGTGTGCTTAATATATTTATGCTCTTGCCCACTGAATACATTGTTCAAGAACCTACAGTGAAGCCAAAAGCAGAGTAATCCATGTATAAGCCATTTAACAGCACTGAATTTGGGGGCAAGATGAAATGTTTATGTTTTATTGATCTGTTTTGACTGACTTAACTCACCTTCCGCAGTGATTCAGAGCAGCATGAATTCCTACAACTCTTCAGCTTGTGCAGGGCACCACTGCTAGAAGACAGCTCAGCCTCCTGTTGACTGTCGGTAACTATAATGAAAGATGAACATCCTTTATTGGTGAAAGTTTAGAGATTCTTTCTGTTTCAAAAGCACTCCATTTCTTTTATTATAAACACAAATCTGTTTTAAAGGTGCGTATAAACAGTACAGATAGAATATCTTACAGAGTTTAAACTGCCCACTTAAACATTTGGCTGCCGATTGCCCTTGTATGTATGATCTGAAGCTTTCACAGTGACTAAGTATAATAAACTCTTAGGCTACCAGCTATATCAGATATATTGAAGTACCCTGAGGATGAAGATTGTTCTTGAAACATCTGCGTTTTCTCCATTCAGCCATCCGACATGGCTGATAGCCCAACAAGAAGTTACGCTCTTGTATGGCATCCACAAATTTTACTTGCTACATTTTCTAAACTATCTTCAAATCTGTAACTCTATACGATACCCATACTTCAGACAGTAGAGTAGGACCAATTGCAAAATCATGGATTTCTTTGCAAGTTTTGCCCAGTTTGTGTTTGGCTGTCTCTGCATTGGTAGTGTTTTCTTTCACGTTTTCCCACGTCAAGTCCTCGTGTGATCAAGTCATTAATTTGTTAGAATTGGAAGTATAAGAATCGTAAATATTAAATTAGCCCACGTTGAGTGAAAATCCACAAAAATAGATCACTGGACCTTGGATAACATTGGGACAGCAAGAGACTTCAATGGTAGCTTTGAAATAAATCTGCGAATAACGTAGCATTTGATAGCAGTGAAGCGGAGTGTGTGCTGCCGCTGTCAGATCTCTCCCTTACAGTTTATTAAGTGTTCTTACAAATAAATTTGAGCGTCTAAGATAAGATGCATTTGCTAATACAAGCTGCCATGCTCATTATTTAATTTTCTACTTGGTAGGCACATGAAAAATATTTATATATTTAATACCAAAACTTTTTTTTTTTTTACATTTTTGTACTGCATCACCAAATTCTAGATGACATTCAATTTTTGCTGAAAGGGAAGAGTCACATTTGACAAACTAAGCCTACTTTTGAGAGTATTGGATTTTTACTACAACTAAAATATTATTATACTGTGTATTGTCGAGAATGTATCTACCTGTTTTGTGCTCATTAGTATATAATTTAATAAACAAAGCACATGCTTTTTTTAGATTTATTATGGACAATTTCAAATTGCAGAAATAAGTCTGTGTAGCAGTGACAGGCGTGTTTCATACGTAAAAAGGTTTATTTACAGATTTTTGTTGTTTTTCGTGGACCTAGCTCAGGATAGAGTTTGGTGGCAGGCTTTTGTGAATAAGGTTATGACAAGCCAAGTATACAATCGACTTATCAAAGACTATCCTGCACCACAGAGTGAGTGAGTAAGTACATGATTGAAGTATTATATTAATGGTAAAAAAGAATAACCATCTACGCAACTTTTACTCTAAAATAATTACTTAAAAAGTAAAATATAAAAATTTAATCTGCATTACAAACGTAGATTATAGATAGAAATTTTAGCACCTGAAGCTGACAGTGCTATTAGTCTAATGGAAAGAAACAAAAGAAACGTATGGAAATTATATGAAATGTTTAGTAGTCACGAACTTAACTATATTGTTAAAACAAAACAGACATAATATACACTTGAACATTGACTCCTCCATGTACCAAAATACAGTTTTAGCTTGTGCTTAAATACCACAGCCTAAAAATCATTTTTAATTGTAGTCACCTGTTCAAAGAGAGTGATGCGTCTTTTGGATTGCGTATTTACCTTTTTCTGACTTTCATTCACTTTTAACTTTTCATATTAAGAGGCTGTCAACATAAATATTTTCACTGCAGTATAGTGTTGTAGGCTTCTTATTATCCAGGGGCAGATTAACTGGGATGTATGTGGTTTAAATGGAAATTAAAAAATTAATTTAGAAATTTTTTTGTAGAAATTGGAACATTTCAAAAGAAAGGAACGAATAAAAAATTTAATATTTCAAAAGAAAGGAACGAATAAAAAAATTTAATGTATTAACAGAAATCAATTGTTGCTAAATATGACAACATTGTTATTACTATCCACTGGAATTCTCCTTTTGAAAAATTGTTTGTATGTAGTGTATTAAATTCTACATAGAATACTTTCTGTTATTAGTAAATCTTTTAAAAAATTTAATGTATTGCCAAAGACATTTAAGTCCGCTCTTGTTAGTGGCATTGTCAGTTGTCGAAGAATTGTGGTTGCTACTGCCAGTGTGGTTGAAGATGTGCTCAAGTATCCACGGCAGGACGTGGAATATTTTTGTAGGTCGTTAAACTTGTCCCTAATTGATGCCCGTGTAACTGCCGAAATATTTTGAAATACTCTACGTGCTAAAACAAGTAGCACTGTCCTACATACAATATTCTTTTTCAAGCTATTACACGTTGTACTGTATTAAGATTTGATGGACACTGATATTCCAAATGTGTTCTTCACGGCACGTCACATAAGTAGTAGTCGCACTGATATGATCCGAAGTCATTGTTGCATCTTAGGTCATTCTTTAATCTTTCGATAATCTTATATCGATCTTACAGTAATGTGATTCGAGTTTCCGCTGCGAAAAATGCGTCAGACACATTCCCGGTCCCATAAGGTGTTCCTTATTCACGTTAGAGTGTGTTGGACGCTTATTAATTTGTAATTTTTAGAATTATATCATACACCGGCATTTTTATGCGATGATCCATTATTAGACGAAATCAAAGTTTGGTTCCAGATTCGTGTAAACAGTAGGAGTTACACTTGACCGATAAGAACCTTAATTAAATTTGCTGAATAATTACCAAATGATATCAAAATCTGTTCAGTAGTTTCGGAGATTAAACATGGCGACAAGCGGCTAATTGATACTGTTTCTTCTATTAACGTTCACCTCCTGCTTCTTTTTTTTTCAAATTACATATAATCAAACATTTTTCTTAGAAAAATATAATGACTATCTATTTCTCTTCATTCTGCGAACCTGTCTTTGAAGTATATTAATCCACCACTAAGGATTATTTTTTAGGTTATGTCCATCAAACATTTTGCTTATTTTCACGGTGTTAATGCCTTACAGTTTGATGATAATAGCAGGGTAAAACTTTACTACCGACAATTAAAAACGTTCAATTTTGTTTTTACATTGCTCTACTTTACTTGTATCTAAGTTTATTTTAGGCTAAGTCTTCAGGAGCATTCAAGCGTGTGAGCATGTGTGTCTGAAATTTGACTTTGTCCATAAGAAAGAAAGAAAGAAAGATTGGTAAAGGAACACTGTAGCTCGTTATTTACAAATTCAGCATCGATTCAAGAACGTGCTTAATCACACGCGTACTGCGTGGTAGTGACTTAATAGTGCTTAAACTCACACATGCTTTAAACAAAAATTGCTCGTCTCATTCCAACCAAACCACGTTATGCAAGAGGTGTGCTGTGCTCTACAGTAAACCCTCGTCTAAAGCGAAGGTGTACGTTCCTCGAAAGCGGAGCATTCTCAGAATCCTCTTTGAAGGAACTTAATATTGTATGGGAATAACTGGGATACGGGAACGCGGCATACATTAACGATATTTATTCATGAACAAATTATGTAATATAATAAAGGATTTTCATGAAATTAAGAGTTAATGTAAAATCTCAACGGAATATTAAACTTTAAAATAAAAATTTCCTTGGATATTTTACATCGTCTAAGAAATAATAAAATAGAAAACGACGTTTCGGAGATGGGGCTCTATCTCCGTCTTCAGGTACCTACACTGTTGGGCCCAATTAACAATTAAACGGCAATGCGCGAGGGTTGTACAGTTAAGCATCTAGCCCGCCTGTCGCAACAGCTATGTATGCTTCCTGAGGTTTCTAATAGTTTTCTCTCTCTAACCAGGCCTTAAAATAGGCCACAAAGGCTTTCTTCTCTGCCATTCCATTCCTTCTTCCAGAGCAGGATGGTGGGTGATGGCACCACGTGGTACAGTCATCCAGCCATTTTCTCACTTTGTAAACCGCGTAAAGAATGCACGAATTATTTCACAAAACGTACATTAAACAGATTTCTAACATTCGAAACAACGGAATAATGAAGACTGCTTATTTACCCTTAGTGTAACAAAATATACGGCATTCGACCACAAAATGACGAAAAGCGAGTGGACCATCCCTGTTTTGTGCTATAAATGTTTAAATCGATATCGTATATTCATTATGGCCTCCTTTCGATATTTTAATTTTCCGTGGTATTTACTATTCTTCTGATTTCCGTAATCCACATTCGGGTTTTCGTAAAAACCGAAGAATTTATTGACCGACTGAGCGACTATTTCAAGGACTCTTAAAATTCGATCTGTTTTTCCCCCACAAATTTTAATTTATTATTCCCACTCCCTCCTCTAAAATTAAATCCAGTATATCTAAGACAATTTCTTAAGATTTCTCTCTCTTCAGACAACATATATTTTGACTTAACATTTTTATCTATAATACAGTAAATTGCATTACACGACGAAGTTATTTCAACAACGAAAGAGCTGGGCCTATGTGTAAAGCTTGTTGCAGGAACGAAAGCATGGGGCTTGGAAAATGTAGCGTACCCTGTCAGTTATAAGCTGTATGGTGCATTAATTATATTATCAGTGATTAGTGAAAAATAAACTGTTTACTAGTAACTGTCTTTTGTCTCCAACAGTTTTCAATTGCAATAGATCTGAACACACTTACCTTCTTCCTGTTGGGAAGTATCCATCGTGATAAGAATATCCTCTTACATGATCTTTCGTCCGTTTTCCTTACGCCAAGTAGTTTTGTTGGTATTCCAAAAACCCCATAAGAGATAATCCAGATGTGGATCGCAGCTCAAGGCCGCCATGTTTCACTGCAGGAGATTCGTGTGGGTGTTCAAGGGCACAGTTAATAGAAACAGTGTAAATGTTCTATTAAACGCTGGGGATTCGATTGCAGACGAGTGTTTCCAGAAAAACTGAGAACCACGACCGAGTCTCAAATTGTAACTGCGTGCCAGAACACAAAATTTAATAATGGCCGAATCTTAAGTGATGTCAGGATTGCCAGAAATTTACAGAAGATGATAATTTTTAACCATAAAACATATTTTTATGATGTATTGGACCCCACGTTACTTTTTGCTGAAATTTTTAAATATTATTAATTAAAGTACTAAGAACGTAAAAAAAAATCTGTCACGCTACAAGCCATGTAGGCGTTTGGGATTAAACATTTACATGATGGTTTTTATTCAAAGAAACTGTCTTACTAGCCCTAGGATACAGTTTATTTTAATTGTTGCAAAATCATGGCTTGTGACTGTCGACAAATGGTAGGAGAAATTCTTGTCAGCGGTTTTCTTACGCAGAATAAAATTCCATTCACAGAGCCAGTGTTTTAAGATAGAGATATCTATGGAGCATGGAAAGGGTTAAATACAAGTCTGAATCGATGGGTAATAGTCAGAGCTGCTGTTCAAATAGTTACAGTATATTGATATAAACGCATTCTTCCATATTCCTAAAACAATATAATTAATAAAACTCGACAAGGATGGAAGAATATTTACACCATGTAACAGTTTAATTGACCGATAGATAAACCAGCCGGTGTATATTCATAAGCAGTTTTTGAATCCGTCGGTTTAAGTCCGTTTAAGTGTTGTATCCATAAGAATGTTCGACGGATTATAATCCAAAAGTCTATTTCTTATAGAATGTGAAGGAACCTGGACTCTAAATGTTTTTGTTTTAGATCCCACAAAAGCTGCACCGTAACAAATATTACGTATTTTTTTATTATCTGTTAATACACAAAATGGCCACGGTGTTCTAGCGGTTAGAACGCTGCCTTGTAATCCTGGGGTCTCGGGTTCGATTCCCGGCGGTGCCCGAATTTATAACTTGTGTTGTGCAAGGCCGTGGTCTCGGCAACACGGAGTTTTCCTCCGTGGCGTCCCAACAATTACTCCATTCACACCCAGAAGAAGGCAATGGCAAACCACTTCTGGATCATCTGCCAAGAACGTATATGAACAGGTCCCAGTCCGAGAAAAGGATGGAAGGATCCTGTTCATATGGACCTGTCGTCAGACAGAACACTAAACAAACAAAAAAATAATAGTAAAAAAGGTAATTTGACATATTCTCCGTGCATTTGGCTCTAATACCGAGCAGAGGGTCTTGGCTTTCTTGGGTGAAGATTTTTATCACTGTCCTCAAAACTTATTTCGAGGCCCAGTGGTTAACAATCCTGCTTCATGTGAGATCTGAGGTTCTCACGGCTTTGACGATGATGAAAATGTCCTCGGTTACGACACCGTGTCTCGTAGGTAAACACCGACGTTTCAGAGAATCGTACTCTGTTTTTGTTCTGAAACACTGATATCTACCTACGAATCTGAACCAATAACCCAGAATAACAGCATTTTCGGGGCGTATCACTTTCATATCTCGGTCTAGGAGACCGATTTTTCGTGATTGAAGTTTTTGTGTTTTTCCTCAGATCCTCCAGGCAAATGCCGGGACGATATCGTAAATTAGACCACGACCGATTTCATCCATAAACTTTCCAATTGATTCCTCATTAATAATCCTATCACTTGATGTGATATAGTTTAAACTCCTGACATCGTCGTTAAATAAACCTCAAAAAAAAGACCATTTTCTCGTGGGAAATCTGTTATTCATCAATTATTATCACTTTCTACCGCACTCGGTGTTGTATTGGTAATCGTGTGTATGAAGAATTGCATTGAAGTGCTTACAATTTGAATCTAAAGACGGCGAAACAATAGGAGAGGGAAATTGTGTTGGAGTGAACTTGTTAAAATGTGATTTTCCATTGGTCTTGTTGTTCGTGTACTGGGGACAGAGTTCGAACCTCAATCACACTGCAAATACCGAATTGCACGAGGACAAGAAATTCTTGAATTTTGTCAAATATCCAAATATAAAAAAAAACGCTTCAAATACAAGTTCTACTACTTTATGGGATTCATATCGTATTGTCTATTAAAGTCACGTAAATTATCGAATTTTTTGTGGAAGTATAAAATATTCTTCTTTTTCTTAGACTAGTATTAATCAGGCTTATTAAACCTATAGCAAGTATAAGTTACAGACCTTCATTATACCTGCGATGTTTTATACGATGGATCATTTTCGAAAAAAAAAATAGTTACTCGTTCATTTCGTTTATGGAAAGTTCAACAACATTAAATTCTGTCAGCATCTTTCAGTGTAGACTCTGAGGACAAAGTTTAATGGAGCCCGTTGAATATTTATAAGCTGAAAGGAAGAGAGCATCAGTCGAACTGATAGTCAAGTTTTGAGCAATACTTACCTGAGTCTGTGTGCTGAATACGTGCGGAACTATTGAACGGCCCGTTTGGAACGCTGCCTCGAGGTTGTTCATCCCCTGTTACCACGACGCTAGGCGTCCGAACTCGACGCGGATTGAAGATTGTCGGAATGTCACCGTCCCTCATGACAGAGCCGCCAGGTTTGGTCCCTGACGAAAGGGACCCGTGATTTACCAGGCCCCCATCAACTCGAAGAGTGCTTCAGCTTTTGTGGACCTCTGTAAAGAAATAATTTCATCGTAATTAAAAAAAGGTTAGCGAGATTGTTATTATATATAATTCCTAAGCATTTAACAAATCTGATACATATGTTTCAACATAGTCTCACAGTTGTGCTGCTAATTGGTACACCAAAATTAGATTGTGCCCATACTAAACAATGTTAAGCACAAAACATAGCCAAGAAAACATTAGGTTACTGCTAATAAAACTTGGTGTAATAGAAACCTTAGCAACTAGCAGATGCAACCTTTAATGAGCTTACAAGCTAAATTATTCGACCCCGTGCAACACTGTCTCTATGCAAAGAGCTTGCAGTTATGTAACTGTGTATCGATCTCTCGATCCAAAGAATTACCTTAGCCACGATCACTGAACTTTCCCGAGCCTGACCGAAAATTGTGGTTGAGTGCTTTAATAGATTTATACCTCAAAGAGTACGGTACTATTTCTCCCCTCATATTTGGGTTTCTAAATCCAAAGTAAGAAAATCGGTACCTACTTAAATTCTGAGTCAGTCAGAAGATATTTTTACGGGAAAATACAGTAAAACGCCAGGTAATTCTCATGAATTTAAATGGCCGTTTTCAGTTGACCATTCATTATCATAGTCTCATCTATTTGTACGGTGAATAATATCTGCTTGATATAGCGATATTTAATGCTCTGTAAATCATCAGCGCATTCTCTTTCTAACTATCTCAATGTGTCACGTTACTCCGTCATCTGTAAAGATTACTTCGACCTGAATCAGTAGTATTTCGTAAGACCTCACGCAGTGACGTCACTGTCATCCCCTCTCGGTTTTTCTTATGTAATATAATTGTAAATGGATAACTTTTCTTCGTGGTATTTTATTCTGAGAGAATATTTCTATGTAACCTCAAAATAATATTTCGTTTTATGGATATAATTTATCTTATAATTTGTCTAAAAACACCTAAAAAGCGGCAGAAATGTATGAGCCATGACACAACAGTAATGAAACTCGAGCCACGATCGCCTATATTATACAAACTCAACAGAAATATTCTCTAACGCCTGTGAAGGAGGCAACCAGACACTCCGTTATGTAAGTTGGATCACATAACCCACTACTTTCAGTAAATAGCACCTTCTATTACTTACATATCAGTCCTCTCTCCTTCAACTCTGATGACTTTAATTTTGAAGAACACACCTGTAGTTTCTTTTTACATTTTTAGCCTGTATAGCATAAACAACTGCAACACAATTGGTGTGAATAGTAACAAGGATTTTTTTTAAAGGCGAAAGTAATAAACATCTGTCATGAAATAAAATTCTATACTGACGTTGAATAATTCTTAATGCTGTTCATACCCAAACTTGTTTACAGATTCAACAGTATAAAATAAACAGCCAACAAAGGTTTTCATTGTCTTCCTAAGTTCTTCAACATGAATGCTGGAATAATACTCTAAAGTAGTCTACGTCCACTCCTCTGTCATGACTATTAATAATTCACAATCATGCCGCCACATCGACTTGTCGCTCCGTTCCATAGCAACGTAACGTAGCAGAATAACCTAGTACAGTTTCAGGTAGTCTATCCTGAACAAAGTTTTTGGTAGTTTTCTTCAGCCACTCCAAATAACAGTACTTTCAAATTCATCGTTCACAATAGTCCAACCATATTTATTCGATGCTACATAATATTAGCAGTTGATAAATCATCGTAAAATAGTCCAATAAACAATAAAGTAATGAATTCCCGTCTAGGGATCGGATATGGTGTCTAACGTTTTTCCTTTATTTTTTTTTTCGATTATTTAAGCGGAATCCTGAGATAACACTTCATTCGTCTGGAGCACTGATCTCGCATAATTAATATCGGTTTCTACATCCAAGAAAACACACCGTGTCTCCTTTACATAAATGAGGTTATTAGACTTTCGGAGAAAAAGAGCTGTTTGTTCTGATAACCAAACAAAACTAATGAACAGCATTTCGTTGGTAAGGTAATTAGTTACTCAGAATCAGATCATGGGGTATATATAATTACCATTATGCTAAAATTAAAGTAATCTATGGCGACTTTGTATCATTTCACTTCACATTGTCAAAGTAGCCTTATAATTAAGCTTGCGATGCTAACTAATATTATTGGTTGATAACACGTCATAAAATATTCGAAATATCAACCATTCGAGTACACGTTTAAGAGGGCCCTGAATTGTTCACCGACACTACCTAGAATTTATTAAACCATGCAAATTGTCGTCTTGGCGTTTCAGGTTCTTTTAAAGTCAGAATGCAAGATGTGCAAATTGTCGTCTTGGCGTTTCAGGTTATTTTAAAGTCAGAATGCAACATGCCAAATTGCTTTTGAACTTCATTTATAGGAAAGGAGATAACAGAGCGGAATAAAGATAAATTAATATGTGTGAAGACACACATATGTGTGCCGATATTCTACCACTCTGTTAAGTTACGGTTATAATGACACCTGACACAGAGCAATTGATTTTATGGATAGAAGACACTAAAAAAACGCCTACCTTGGACTCTTTTGGAGCAATTTAAGACGAATATCAAACCCTCAAGTCACACACTGATCACAAGGAACAATGAATCAATTTAGATGGCTGTTCGTCAGCAATAGCTGCTTTCCACCAGACAGATATTCTTGGTGTCCACGGATCTCCGCCATATTGATTATTCCGCTATGTGACGCACGCGCCATCCAGGGAAAAGGCGAAACGCGAGGGTGATCATGGCGATGTACATTTCTGCCTTTATATATATTAATTGGAAAAATCTTTAATAAATACGCTGGTCAAGATGGGCATTTCCCATTGTGTGTTCCTAAATTGCTCGAGGTTCTATGACGAAATTAGCTATCTTTTGTCAGTGACGGCAAGAAAGTCTATCCCAATAAGAAAAATACCATAAATTTAACAAGATTGTAAAGTTGAATTCAATTTTGGATTAATCGATTCTTAGTTTATTTAACATGTCTAGCTTCAGATCTCATATAGCTTTGAATGATGAAAATGTCGTGGTTAGTGAGCAGATGAAAATTTGGAAGGAGACAGTAGTGTCCTATTTAAAGGTATTACCCGATATTCACCTAAAGAGGCTGGGAGAAATGAATCCGGTTAGGCTGGTTAGTAATGTGACCGATAGGTTAACTGCAAACCTGCGGAAGACACGTATGAAACATTGCTGTACGATTTTCGTACTTCAGTGGGCCTGATGCTCATTTATTACAGATACAAATAATTTGTACAGAGTGTCTCACAACCAGTCTTCCATATATCATGTCGTGTGTGTGTGTGTGTGGGGGGGAGGATTTCGAGTAAAATATATAAATACAATATTGGTGGTGGCTGCGGATCTGTGGACATTTCATGCTGTGTAAACAAAAAATGCCTTTTTATATGTGCTTTGATAAATAGCAGCACTGGTGACGTTCTTTATTATTAAGTTACGGCTGTTACGAAAATCGTTGGATTGGTCATCGTGACCCAATACCTTGGCTGCCAATGTCTTCAGACCCAACCCGGATTGATTTATTGTATGTGGTCTGATGAAAATGTTTACTTTTAACAATATTTCACAAGGTACATGATTTGAAGGTAGTTTATAATCTATTTTCCATATCTGTAACTCAAATGGTTCTTTTGTTAGCCTGTCATTCATTCAGTCATTCTGTTAGTCAGACTGAAAGTAAATTAAAAATTTTGCAGGGCCGTATGTCGTAATATATTCCACAAAAATAATTTTTATTATCAGGACTACAATTATTGTTTCAACAAAATGTGCGTTATTTGCGACTACACTGTCGGCGCGTCAAGAGAAGTTCACTTGGAGAAGGGGTGATATTAATGCGCATGCGCAATTTGCCTATGCACCTTGTGTTCCTGTTGGTAGTTGCTATTATCTGTGCCAGTATTGCAGTGCATTGTGTATACGAATAGTGTTGAAGGGGTGGACACGAAGGTGCAGCAACAGTACATGTCAACTTCTAGAGAACTACGCACAAAAGGCAAATGCACAGTAGATCATAGAGGGTGATGGTGTTAGTGTAGCTAATCACCTACCCCTGTTCATTCATTCATTTATTATACGAACTCTCTATTTACTCTACAGATTTTCCACATCCGTTTAACCATTCTTTTGTGATATTACACCCTTCTCTGACCAATATTTTATTTATAGCGGTTAAATGTTACCATAATTTAATCTGATTATTAGGTTCATACTTTGGTGTTTATTCACTGTACAGTCTTAATATCACTTTATTGTGGACGAAGTTCAATAGTATTAAAGATAAACATTACACACAAATACAATTTTTATTCAATACATTATTAACAAACACAACTAGAAATATACATGTTAGAAGACTGCAGAGGCACAAATGACATTTATTTCTGTATATGTTTATGATTACCAGGAAATGTTCTAATAAATCTTTGAGATGGTGATGAGAGCTACTTGTATGGAAAATCTTTTATGAAAATACTTGTTTTATATAAAATTGTTTGGTTCATAAACATAGAACAAAGTAAATTTCGCCAACTTAGAACTGGAAATTTTTGTATGTCCTATTGGGGGAGACAGATATGCAGCTGAGAGCAGTAACTGACATACGAGGTGCGATCGGAAAGTTTCAAGACTGCGCCTATAAAAACCCGTACACTTATCTCAGGTATTAAATTCATCCATCACTCTCGAAGTAGTTCCCCTGGGAGTGAACACAACGATCCCAGCGCTGCTGCCAAGCCTGGAAGCATCCCTGGAAATCTTTCTTTGTCAGCCTGTCAAGCACCATCTGCGATTCTGCCTGAATCTCTTCTATCGTCTCAAATCTCCTTCCCTTTAGCTGAATTTCATCTTTGGGAAGAGGAAGAAGTCACACGCAGCTTAGGAAGGAAGTTGCGGTCGGTTCTTGCAAGATCTTTGAGCTCCTCACAAACGAGAAGTC